TTCATCCCTTCGACCTGAATCGCGGCAACGTGTGCAGGCCGGCTGAGAGCGTCTGCTTTGTTCCTGTGGCCGGGCTTGTACACGATGTCGTAGTGGAAGTGTGTCTCGAGGAAGTCGATCCACCGGACCTGCCGCCTGGAAAGGTTGGGTTGTGTCTTCAAATATTTCAGGCTGCAGTGGTCAGTGTAGACGGTTGTTCTTCGTCCTTCGAGATAGCATCTCCACGCTTTGAAGGCGATGATGATGGCCACGGCCTCTTTGTCGTGTATCGGGTAGTTGAGTTCTGCCCCGTGCAGTTTCTTGCTGAGGTAGGCAATTGGTTGCAGTCCATTCCCCTGGTCTTGCATCAAGACTGCACCCACGGCCTGATCACTGGCGTCTGCTTCAATGACGTAGTCACGTTCGGGATTTGGCAAGATGAGCACCGGTGCGGACGTTAGTGCTTGTTTCAGCTGCTCCACGGCTTCCTGGTGCTTTGTCTCCCATTTGTAGGGCGTGTTCTTCTTCAGCAGATTCGTGAGTGGTGCCGCGAGTTTCGCATATTGTGGCACGAACCTGTTGTAGTAATTAGCGAAGCCTAGGAACTGCTGCAACTCCTTCACGTTCTCGGGTGTCTTCCACGTACGTACGGCTTCGATTTTCTTGGGGTCGACGTGAACTCCTTGAGCGCTCACCATGTGGCCTAGAAATTGGACCTTCTCCAGGGCGAATTCGCTCTTGGACAGTTTGACGTAGAATCGTTCCCGTCGAAGAATTTCGAAGACGCGTCGCAGGTGTTCGACGTGCTGCTTCATGTCGCGCGAGTAGATGAGTATGTCGTCCAGGTACACCACCACGCATTCGTCCAGAAGTGGTCGTAGAATGTGGTTCATTTCGGCTTGGAACGTTGCCGGTGCGTTAGTGAGTCCGAACGGCATGACCAAATACTCGTACGATCCGTACCGAGTTCGGAAAGCAGTTTTGTGGATAGAGTTGTCCGCCATCCGTATCTGCCAGTATCCGGACCGCAGATCCAGTTTGGAAAATACCGTAGCTCCCCGAAGCTGGTCAAGCAGGTCATCGATTCGCGGTATCGGATATTTATTCTTGATGGTCTGCTTGTTAAGAGCTCGGTAGTCGATGCACATGCGCAGGCTTCCGTCCGGTTTCGGTGTGAAGAGTACTGGGGCACCGTATGGCGAAGTAGATGGTCGGATGAGTCCTTTGGCTAGGAGATACTCGATCTGCTTCTTCATGTCGGTCAGCTCCGTAGGACTGAGTCGATATGGTGCTCGGAAGGTCGGCTTCGAACCCGGTTCCTCCACGATCTCGTGTTGATGCGTTCGGTATGGCGGTAGCTCGTTCGGAAGATCGTCAGGAAGAATGTCTTGGAACTCCTTCAGTAATTCCTTGATTTTTTCTGGAGTTTCCGAGGCTTTCTCTCTGTCATTCTCCACCTCTGTTGCTATCGCCAGGAACCCGGTGTCGGTCCGCTTCACGTCCTTCTCGAATCGTGCGAGTGTCTCCACTGGGATATCTCCAGTGTCCTCCCAGTTGGGTAGCTGTACTCTCCGTCCATTGTTGTAGATGCTTGCGGTGCGGTTCACCCAGTTGATCTCGGGGTTGAATTTTTTCAGGAAGTCTCGCCCGAAGATCAAGTCAAGCCCTTTGATGTTGGTGATGGGGAGTGCAGGTCTCCAGCGCAGTGGTCCGATTTGTAGATGTAGCACTGCTTCGCCGTGTACTGGTAACTTGCTGCCGTCCACCATCGTTGCAGAGAATCCTGAAGGCTTGTACTCTTCCCGGAGTCGGTCGATCATTGCCTTGTCGCAGACGGTGTGTGACGCTCCGCTGTCCACGAGTGCTTGGAGGCGTCGTCCTTTGCAGATGACCTCGAGCACGAGGGGCAGTCGTTGCTCGGAGTACCCAAAGATAGTTTCATTGATTGGGTCATAGGGTACATCCCAATATTCCGTACACACCTTTGTGTTGTTGTCTACTCCTGAGCTGGCAGCTGGCCAAGGCTGCTTGGAGAACGGCTCTTCTCCAGGGCCCGGAGTTTCTTTGACGACTGTGCGCGTCACTGATGCCGAAGAACTGGATGCATCCGTAGAAGGAGTTCGGGGTTTGTGCAGCTTCTTGTAGACCCCCAGCTTCCTCTTGAGCTGCTTCAGCTCCACCGACGTCTTCCCTGGGGAGCGGGTAGTCGTTGTGGGCTGGTGTCGGGAGAGGACGTTGACTCCGTGGAAAGGTCGGCTTCTTTCCACACTCCTTAATTTGGTCCCCAAGTTGTCCGGTACCGGTATAATCTCCACAGCTGTCTGCTTCTTTTGGAGTCCCTCCCGAATTTTCTCCAAGGCTCTAGCCCCTCGAACATCATAAGTTTTCATTAAAGCATCTTTATAAGATAACTTTAACGAATTCTTATAATTTCTTGGGTCTTCAAGGAGTTTCCCTGTCTCGGCAGAGTCTTTTTTCGCGGAGTCGTATTTTTCCTCGGCGATTTTCCCTGGCGAAGACTGGTCGTGGGGTGGAGATTTTCCCCCATCATTTCCTCCTTCTCGCGTCGAATCAGCTTCGTCGAAGTTGATTTTTCCGGAATCCCGCGGCCGCTTTCGGATCTTTTTATTTTCGCCAGCTAGATCCGCAATCACTGGCGACTCCCGTTTTTTGTCTTCTGATTGGCCGAAAGATTTCTGCCACTGTTGCGTGCCCGATACTCTGCGCGTGCGGCCTTCATTTTGTTGCAGTCGAAGATTCGGTGGCCCGGCACTCCGCAAAAATCACACGTGTAGTTGGTGTTTTTCGGACGTGGCCGCCCCTCGAATCTGTCGACTTCCATCGGGTCGGCGAACGTGGGGTGAGCCGAGCGGTCGCCTTGTCGCGTACTGCCGACGTGCGGCCGTCGTGTTCCGGCGTTGACCATGTCGAAGCGCTCCGCTGCCGAAACGACGTCACTGTAGCTTGCGTAGTTTGACGCTGCGACTTGTCGTTTGACTTCGGTCTTCAGCCCGGCGAGGTACGATTGTACTTTTTCCCCTTCGGTCAGGTCGGGAATGCGGTTATAAAATTCCTCCATCTGCTGCGTGTACTGTGCTACACTCCCGAACTGTCGGTGTCGATGAATTTTTTCCCGGGCAAGGAAACTCGAATTTATCGGTTCGAAGCGTTTCAGCAGGTCGGCGCGGAACTGCTGCCACGTGGCTTCACCGTGGATGAAAGTACTGTTGCCGCCAATCCACTCGAGTGCCGGCCCTCGCATCAGTGTCGCCGCGAGTCGTACACGTTGACCGTCCCAGACTGGCGAGCTCCATCCGACGGCTGCGAAGTAGATCTCCATCCCGGCGATCCATCTGCGGGCGTCGGAGTTTCGATCGCTCGGATCGAACGGCTCAGGTGGGCGCGGTTTCGGAGCCTCGAGAAACTGCTGCGACTGCTGCGTCGTCGCCGTTGTCGTCTCGTGCTGCGCTCCGGCGAGTCGAGTTACTCGCTCGAACTGCTGCTTAGCTGAGCGCGGCAGAGTGAGAAAAGCTCTGATACCAAGTGTCACGATCCCCGCTGCTGCTGCTTAGCTGAGCGCGGCCGAGTGAGAAAAGCTCTGATACCAAGTGTCACAGGATCGAATGTGTCGAGGAAAGGTTGTACTATCGATCGGTACAAGGCGCTTTTATACTTCCAGAGTACATCAGGTAACCAGGTTTATCCTATCTAAAGGAATAGACCCTTCTCGAAAATAGAATCACCCTGCGTATAGCCACGCGAGGCTATTGGCTTTAAGAGATTACGGCAGGATTACGCTAGATAGCGTGTCTAGAACATTCCATGCCTGGTCGGTGATATAATAATAATAAAGGAGGAAACCAAAGGATAATGGAAAATGGGGAATATGAGGCAAAAGGCGATGAGATAAAAAGAGGAATGAAAGGAAGAGGAAATATGGAAAAGGCCAAGTGGTGTAACGGAGTCGTGCTCTCACACTAGGGCTACTGCTTCAGCCTTGGTTCAGGTGCCGTCTCGTGGAGAGCTACCCGCTCCTCGTCTGTTGCCCAGTCCAGCTGTGAGGCCGAGATCTACGCTGGTGCCATGGCGGCACAGGAGCTCCGCTGGCTGACCTTCTTGCTCACTGACTTAGGTGAGCGGCCTAGCTCTGCCCCGGTCCTGTTCGCTGACAACAGGGCCATGATCCTCCTGTGTCAGGAGCCTCTACTCGAGGGCAGTGCGAAGCATATCCAGCTGCGGTACTTCCTCCTGCTCGAGCTACAGTAGAGACTCCATGCTCGCGTAGTACACTTGGCCTCAGGTGCCAACACAGCTGATATCTTTATGAAGGCGCTTGCGCCTAAAGATCATCAGCGGCACTATGTACAGCTTGGTCTAGTTCTTGTAGCCTCTCACTTGCTAGGGCCTTGACTTTGTACTGTCCTTTATATGTGTACTTAGACTGGACTTGTGTCCTCTCCCAGTGGCTGGACTAGTAGTGCCGCCCTGGTCTTGTTCTTGCCTTGTCTGTACTCCTTCTGACTGGTCTTTTAGACCCTTGTCTCAATGGCTGGACTAGTAGTGCCGGCCTGAGCTGCTTGTTCAGGACCTGCCCCTATGCAGTCTAGGGGGTGTGTCAAACGTGTGTATCTCCTATGTTTGCATAGACTGTATAGGGCCACCTCTTAGAGGGTACAACACTTAGGTATATTCACCTGTACTCTCTCTCTACTCAATCATTCATTCAGTTTTGAGAAGTCGTACGTTAGCGCGTACACCCGAACTTCTCGACTCGTCACGTTCGGCCTCATTTATCGGCCCAAACCTTTCCCCAGTCGCGTCCAGCACTGTCGCCACATTGCCGAACCTACCCACGTTTCCGAGGTTATCGCCCTAGCACGCCAACCCCTATATAACCTCGTGCCTTCATTGCAATAGCGACCTTGTATTCTCACGTTATAGTACATTGACACTTCCTAAATCACAACGCACACCGTGATAGCTATGACCTAGGGCCAACCTGTATTGAGCACCGCCAGGGCGAGTATTCTTCCCAGGTGCTGCTGGCATTCTGAGCGCACACTTGCGCACGGTCGGACTGCCGTTTCCGCCAGCCGCACGACGGTAGGTTAAGATTCTACAGCGCAAACATTTCCCCGCTGCGCTGAGGAGCTCGAAGAGGCAGAGAGGCGCACCTTGTCGCCCGAGAGAGCGAGGGTGAGGCGCGTGCCAGTGCGGTGGGCATGGGCCGGCGCGAGTATGAGTCGGAGGAGGAGAAGGAGCGCGACCACGGGGACGAGGGAGGAGAGCGACTAGAAGAGGACGAGGGGGAAGGGTCGGAGGGGGAAGGGTCGGAGGGGGACGGGGGGTCAGGCGACGAGCACAGCGATGACGAGTTGCCGCACCAACGGACGGCTGCGATTGGAAGCGGAGCCGTTGACGTAGGGATGACAAGAGTCGGTTCTTATAGCGAGGATGGCGATAGTGACTCGGACGATGCCCCCGAGGAGTTCACTCTGACGCAGGTGCGCGCTCTTTCCGCGTCGTCCATTGCCGCCGCTTAAACCCTGATTCCTTGCGTCGCCAGCCTTCCCGCTTTCTCCATCTCTCTCTCGCTCTCTTCCACCATCGTCGCATCTTTCTGAGCTCTTGCGATATCACACCAGGTTGCGATATCACACCAGGTCTCCGCGTTAACTCCGAAACCCTCAACTTCTGCACTCTTACATTTCCTCGCTGCGACTTTCTCCCTCCCCCCGCCTAACCAGGCGCGCGAACGGGTTTCTCAGCAACGGCAGCAGGAGGCGGAAGCCCGCCGCATGTGAGTAGAAACCGTGCCATTTGGGATCTGGCATGCAGCCATTGGTTGTCTATATGCAGCCTATTTCTGTAGGGCTCTTCCTCGTCCTCCGTTTCCTTCACTTCACACGTGTGCCCCCTCGCTCCGTGCTCCCTCGCTCCGCGACCCCTCTGCCCTCTCCACAATCCCGTGACCCCCTCCTCGCAGGGTCGCAAAGGCTGTCAGGGAGGTTCGGCAAAAGCGGGCAGGTTTGGCAGTTAAGGGAGACGAGGGCGAGGGGGAGGCGGAGGAAGAAAGAGAAGCGAGGAGGGTTAAGGAGAAAGCGCGGAAGGACAAGCGGAGGCAGGAGCTGGAGGACAGGGCGGAGCGGAGGAAGCGACGGAAGGGGGAGGAGGGGGGAGGCGAGGGGGCGGTAGGCGCATTGGTGGGGAAGGAGACGACGGGCGGCGCTGGGGAGGGCGAGGCGGGCGCGGCGAGGGAGGGCGATTGGGGGGAGGTGGGTGCGGGCGACCTGCTGCCCGCCGATGTGATTGCGGCCGTCACACGGCGCCAGCACACCAGGTGGGGGAGGGGATGGCTGGCGCATGGGGAAGGTGCGGAGAGGTGGGGCCAGGCGGGCGTGGGAAAGTTGTTTGAGAGAGTTTCGTGCGAGGCTGGAGGCCGAGTGCAGTGGGTGAGGGAGGCTGGCGCATGGCGAGCGCACTGTTGCTGAAAAGGAACAGCAACAGCTGTTTCTCTGCTGTGTTGACACACTGTGATTCTGGTCGTTACGCCTTTGTTGCGATCTCCGATGTCCATGCTGTCATACCCCCTGCATGCCCGCCTGCAGGTTCACGGAGCAGCAGCAGGAGAGGGCGCTCAAGAGTGCGAGCGCGAAGCAGCGGCCGGGAAAGGGCAGTGGGAGGGCGAGGGGCGGCACTGCATCGGCTGTCATCGGCCGGCGGTACGGCGCTCCGCCTTCCTGCCGTGCCACCCTTGCCACTGGCTCTGGCTTCCCATTCTGCTGCCACCACCTTGTAGATTCATCCATGGCTTCTGCGCCCTCTCTCTTTCATCCTCTCTTCCACGGATCACTCTCATCAACCCCCCTTCCTGCCCCATCATCTTCTGCACAGACCCCTCACTGCGCCCTCTCACTATCCCACCTGCCACCTGCCACCTGTCACCTGCCATGTGCCCATGGTGCCGCGGCTGTGATGGCAAAACTGTGACGCTCACTGCTGGCTTTCCCCATCTGCCCCACCCGTCATCCCCTCCCCCCCTCCCACCTTCACTCCCCTCCCTCTCATCCTCCCTGCCTTCTCCTCAACCATTCCTGTTCACACCTGACCGCCTGCAAGTATGGCCTCCTGCAACTATGGCAGCCTGCACCATGTTCGTAACTAATCCCTGCGCCCCCGCCCTGCTCTCACTCCTCGCCGCCCGCCTCTCCTCCCCCCCTGCAGGTCGGACGGGGCCATTGTGCTCCAGGGGGGGACGAAGGCCCCAGCGGGGGAGGAGGCGGCGCGGGCCATCATGCGCGCAGCGCAGAGCTTCCAGCACGGGCTGCTGTTTGGGCGGCGCCAGCGGTCGCTGGCAGCGCTGGGGTTTGTGGACGGCAAGGCGCTCAACGTGGCGGGGCAGTGGCGCGCCGGCTCGCACCTGGCGCAGGCGGACGCTGACATGGTGCGTGCCGTGGAGCGGCGCAGCGGGGGGGTGAAGAAGGGCAAGGGCAGGGGGCGAGGGGGCTCCAGTGGTGGTCGGCGATGAGGGGATCGACAGTGGTGTGGGCGTGATGATACATGAACACACTTGCAGCGCTAATGCTGTAATCCACACTGTGTTGCTTCCGCGGCACATCCTTAAGAAGCGTTGCTTGTATGTGCTCAGTTGCTTCTCAAGATAATTGGGGCTGTGCACCGACCACGGCGCGGATAGACCCCCCCTTGTACTAGTAGAAGGCCAAGGGTGTGCCCTGGAAGAGCGAAAGTGAGTGCCGTGCAAATAAAGCCCCAGGCTGTAATAGCAAAGGTGGGCCCAACTTGAACCAAGGGCTATTTTATCAGTGTAATTTACTCTGTTTCTCTGAAAATCAGAGTTGTTTTTGAAAACTACTCTACGAGCCCCGAGTAAAAGACATGCATCAGTAGCGCTGGATTACAACATTAGCGCTGCAAGTGTGTTGCAACATTAGCACATCGTATTGACAGCGCTAATGTTGTAATCCACATTTTTTACGCTGATTTTATCCGAGTAAACCTTTGTACTGTCAAATATAACTTAGTATGTAATTGTAGACTATATAGGTTTGTGCCTTAGAGGGTACGACACACTAGCCTATATTGCATTGTATCCTCACATTCTATCCATTCTTGCATTCTAACATGGTATCATGAGTAGGTTAGGTCCACCTCACCCACCAGCGCTTCCGCCCTAGGTCCTAGCCGGTCCCGTGCACGCCTCCTAGCCGGCCCTGGCGCTCGTTCCGTAGCGGCCCCCGCGCCGGTCCGTAGCCGGCCCCCACGCCCGTCCGTAGCCGGCCCCCACGCCCGCCCGTAGCGGCCCCCGCGCTCGCCTGTAGCGGCCCCCGCGCCCGTCCGTCGCGGCCCCCCCGCCCGTCCGTAGCGGCCCCTGCGCCCGTTCGTAGCCGGCCCCCGCGCCCGTCCGTCGCAACCCCCGTGCGCGCCCGTAGCGGCCCCCGCGCTCGTCTGTAGCGGCCCCCGCGCCCGCCCGTAGCGGCCCCCGCGCCCGTCCCTACCGGCCCCCACGCCAGTTCTGTAGCGGTCCCCCCACGCCCGTTCCGTAGCGGCCCTCCCGCGCCCGTCCGTCGCCGGCTCCCGCACCCGACCGTAGCCGGACCCCGCGCTCGCCCCGTCCCCGGCCTGCGCCCGATCCGTCGCCAGCCCGTCCCCGCCCCGCCCCTGGCCCGCACCGGCCCGCTCCTGCTCCCGGCCCTGACGCCCAGCTGCACGTCACGTGCAGCCGGCCGCTGCACCGCACTGCACCGCCCGGCACTTCTCTGCACCGCACTGCACCTCCCTGCCCCGCACTGTACCGCCCTGTACCGCACTGCACCGCACTGCACCGCCCTGCGCCGCACTGCACTGCTCTGTACCGCACTGCACCGCACTACCCAGTGGCTCCTGCGGCGCCCAGTCGATGGCCTGCGAAAGGTGCCCTATGAGTGGCACGACACGCTGCATGCTACCCTGGCTGACCCGCAGTTCTTCCCATCCTTTGCCAACCCCTCGCTCTTTGTTCGTACTGGCCATACCCCGTTCTACATCCTTGTTTACGTAGACGACCTGGTCTTCGCTACTGCAGACAGGGATGCACTGCCTTTCGTGAAGGCCGAGCTGTTGAAGAGACACACCTGCATTGACCTAGGAGAACTGCACCACTACCTTGGCCTGCAGATCTCCAGGGACAGAGCAGCGTGCACCATTACTCTCTCACAGTCACACTTGGTGCGCCAGGTCCTTCAGCGGTTCGGTCTTCAGTTCTCCTCTGCACAGCCCACACCTCTGCCAGTGGAGCACAGGCTCTCAGCTCCTGTTCCCGAGGAGTCAGTAGAGCTCAGTGGTCCTTACGCAGAGCTGGTGGGTTGCCTCATGTACCTGATGGCTTGCACTCGCCCAGATCTCGCATACCCTCTTAACATCCTAGCTCGCTTTGTGGCCACAGGCAGGCATCGACCACAACACTGGTCTGCCACTAAGAGGGTTTTGCGTTATCTTGCAAATACATCGTGCATGGGGCTAGTGCTGGGAGGACGCAGACCAGTGGTCCTTACTGGGCACACAGACGCTTCTTGGGCAGACGACGCAGAGACTCTCGGGTCCTCTCAGGGCTACTGCTTTAGCCTTGGTTCAGGTGCTCTTTCGTGGAAAGCTATCCGCTCCTCGTCTGTTGCCCAGTCGAGCTGCGAGGCTGAGATCTACGCTGGTGCCATGGCGGCACAGGAGCTCCGCTGGCTGACCTTCTTGCTCACTAACTTAGGTGAGCGGCCTAGCTCTGCCCCGGTCCTGTACGCTGACAACACGGCCATGATCCTCTTGTGTCAGGAGCCTCGACTTGAGGGCAGAGCGAAGCACATCCAGCTGCGGTACTTCCTCTTGCGCGAGCTACACTAGCGTCGCTAGGCCCGCGTAGTACACTTGGCCTCAGGTGCCAACACAGCTGATATCTTTACTAAGGCACTTGCGCCTAAAGATCATCAGCGGCACTGTGTACAGCTTGGTCTTGTTCCTGTAGCCTCCCACTTGTTAGGGTCTTGATTGTGTACAGACCTTTATATATATATATATATATATATATATATATATATTACCCAGACTGGCCTTGTGGATGGTCACTTGGTTTTATGGGGGGTATCTCTCCCATGCCTAGAAATCGTCATTCAAGAATAGAGCGGTTACTTGGTTTTAGGGAGGGTATCCCTTCTACGCCTCCAAACCCTCATTTTCCACTAAAGCGGCTATTTGGATTGAGGGAGGGTATCCCTTCCATGCTTAGAAGTCCTAATTTCCTACTATAGTGGTCACTTGGTTTTAGGGAGGGTATCTATTGCATTCCTAAAAACCCTCAATTTCATACTACAGCAGTCACTTGGTTTAAAGGAGGGTACCCTCCCGTGCCTAGAAACCCTCATTTTCTACTATAGGGACCACTTGGTTTTAGGGAGGATATCCCTTCCATACCTAGAAACCCTCAATTTTTATTTGATCGGTCACTTGGATTGAGGGAGAGTATCCCTTCCATGCCTATAAACCCTCATTTTCTACTAAATTTGTCACTTCAATTCAGGGAGGATATCTCTCCCATGCCTAGAAACCCTCATTTTCTACTAGTGCGGTCACTCAGATTCAGGGAGGGTATCCCTTCTATGGCTAGAAACCCCTCATTTTCTACGAGAACAGTCACTTGGTTTTAGGGAGGGTATCTCTCCAATTCAAAGAAGCCCTCATGTTCCACAAAATCGGTCACTTGGATTCAAGGAGGATATCTCTTCCATTCCTAAAAACCCTAATTTTCTACTATGCCGGTCACTAGGATTCAGGGAGGGTATCTCTTCCATGCATAGAAACCCTTATTTTCTACAACAGCGGTCACTTGGTTTGAGGGAGGGTATCCCTTCCATGCCTAGAAACCCTCATTTTCTACTAGAGAGGTCATTTGGATTCAAGGTGGGTATCTCTTCCACGCCTAGAAACCCTTATTTGCTACTCAAGTGGTCACTTAGATTGAGGGAGACTATCTCTCCCATGCCTAGAAACCCTCCTTTTCTTCTAGAGCGACCACTTAAATTAAGGGAGGCTAACTCTCCCACACCTAGAAACCCTAATTTTCTACTAGAGCGATCACTCGGATTGAGGGCGGCTACCTCTCCTACGCCTAGATACCGTTATTTTCTACTCAAGCAATCACATGCATTCAGGGAGGCTATCTCTCCCACGCCTAGAAACCCTCAATATCTACTCGAGCAGTCCCTTGGACTGAGGGAGGCTATTTCTCCCATGCATAGAAACCATCACTTAGTATTAGAGCGGCAGCTTGGTTTTAGGGAGGCTATCTATCGAATTCCCCCTCATTTTCTACTAGAGCGGCCACTTGGTTCTAGGGAGGGTATTCCTCACATGCCTAGAAACCCTCATTTTCTACTAGAGCAGCCACTTGGTACTAGGGAGCGTATCTCTTCCATGCCTAGAAACCCCATTTTCTCCTAGAGCGATCACTTGAATTCCGGAAAAGTATCTCTCCAATGCATAGAAACCCTCATTTTCAACTAGAGCGCTCACTTGGATTCAGGGAGGGTATCTCTCCCATGCCTAGAAACCCTCATTTTCCACTAGAGCGGTCTTTCGGATGTACAAAGGGTATCTCTCCCATGCCTAGAAACCCTCTTATTCTCCTAGAGCGGTCATTATGAACCCTCATTTTCTACTAGAGCGATCATTTGGATTCTGGGTGGATATCTGTTCCACGCCTAGAAACCCTCATTTTCCACTAGAGTTGTCACTTGGATTGAGGGAGGGTATCTCTCCCATACCCAAAAACTCTCATTTTCTACTAGAGCGGTCACTTGGTTTATGGGAGGATATCCCTCCCATGCCAAGAAACCCTTCATTTTATACTAGCGGTGACTTGGATTTACGGACGATATATCTTACATACCCGGTATCCCTTGTTTTCTACTAAAGCGGTCACTTGGATTGATCAAAGATATCTCTCCCATCCCTAGAAACCCAAATTTTCCTCTGGATCGGTCATTGGATTGAGGTAGGGTATCTCTCCCATGCATAGAAACCTTCATTTTCCAATAGAGCAGTCACAAAGTTTTAGGGAGGGTGTCTCTCTCGTGCCTAGAAACCCTCATTTTCTACTAGAGTGGTCATTTGGTTTCAGGGAGGATATCTCTCCCATGCCTAAAAACCCTCGTTTTCTACTAGAGAAATCACGTGGATTCAAGATGGAACTCGCTTCCACGCATAAAAACCCTCATTTTCTACTAAAGCGGTCATTTGGATTGAGGGACGGTATCCCTTCCATGCCTAGAAATCCTGATTTTCTATTATAGTGGTCACTTGGTTATAGGGAGGGTGTCTATCCCATGCCTAAATACCCTCAATTTCGTACTAGAGCAATCACCTGGTTTAAGGGAGGGTACCCCCCCGTGCCTAGAAACCCTCATTTTCTACTACAGCGGTCACTTGGGTTGTAGGGGGGAATCTCTCCCACGCCTAGTAACCCTTATTTTCTACACGAGCGGTCACTTCGATTCATGGAGGGCATCTCTTCCATGGCTAGAAACCCTCATTTTCAACAAGAGCAGTTACTTGGTTTTAGGGAGGGTATCTCTTCCATGCCTAGAAACCCTAATTTTCCACTAAAGCGGTCATTTGGATTGAGGGAGGGTATCCCTTCGATGCCTAGAAACCCTCAATTTTTTAGAGCGGTCACTTGGATTCATGAAGGATACCTCTCCCATTCTCAGAAAGCCTCATCTTCTAGTAGAGCAGTCACTTGGATTGAGAGATAATATCCTTTCCATGCCTAGAAACCCTCAATTTTTAGTAGATTTGTCACTTGGACTTAGGGAGGATATCTCTCCCATGCCT